ATTTCCATACAAGTACTTGATTTTGGTCGTTCAGTTTGTATGGCAGCTATATGCTATAGTAGGCCGAACTGAACAATTTCTCGGAAAATTGTATCCTTGATTTCAACAAAAGAATAGGGATGAAAGCACTTGTGCGAAATTTCAGAATGACAACTCAAAAAGTGAGGCACTAGTTCGCGCATATACAGACAGACCTACGCAGATGACTAAATCGATATTCAGGCTATAATAATAACAACAAAAGTGTAAAGTACTTTTTTTTCAAAGTGTAAAAATTCAGTAAACTATGAAAATGCTTAAAGCGGCGCATATGAAGTATATATATTAACAAAAAATAACGGGTGATCCAAACAAAATATATGCTTTATGAGGGTATCCAAAAACACTGGCAACTTAACGAAAGACTGGGAAGTGAACACAAACTTGACAAAGCCAACAAACGAAAACAAGAATAAAATTCAAACATTTTCATAATTTGTTTTTTTCCATCTTTTTACCGCGCATAGTCTTCGGGATCACTTCCGTCTGCCTCAAGATATTGAAATAGTCGTTCGGAGCCGCGTTTCTGTGCGGCCGCATTCGGTAAACCGCCCGTGAGTAGATCGTGCGGCGGTATTAGCGAACCATTGGCGCTCAAACGCCAACCCACCATCGATGTGGGATTTACAATGATTTCCTGTAGTGGACCGCCGGTAATATTACCGTTGCCATTATCATTTGTTGTTGTCGTGGTGTAAATCGTTACCGAACCACCGCCACCGACGTTGCCGCCTTGATTGCTGGAAGTGGATGAGCTGCCGCCGCCGCCGCCGCCGCCACCACCACTATGTGTTGTATGACTTTTAGTGTGGAAGGCGAAAAATATACAATAGTAAATGCAAAGGTTTGGATTTAAAGTAAAGTAACTAACGCGCAGTGTAAGAGTTAAGAATTATTGATATTTTTTCTTTTAATTAAAGTAAGTAACGTAGCTTTGTTGAATAAAATAAATATTATTTAACTTTATAACTAGCATTTTTTACCAGAAATTTTTCTTTTTTTTTCTAAGCCAGCTTCAACTTCATAACGCTAACTTGTCTAACTGCTAGTTTTAGCTAATTATTAACCGTTTATTTACCAGTATGCCAGTTGCGAATTTGAGTATAAATTTACACTTGTATCACTTGCTACTAAAGGGTTGCCAATTGTGCGCAAAATATTCGAACTCGAATTCGAGTTCGACATATTGCCGTTAATTAAGTGATTAGTTGGATTTTGATTGCCGCGCGCCGGTCGCGCATCATTGGGACTGCGCGCGCAAGACGCAAGTGGAAAGCACAGAGAAGAAAGAAATTACAAGTATTAGATTTTCGATAACTTATTTCGAAAGCTACTGCCTTCTTTATTAGTGGCACTACGTAGGGCTTAAATCTAAGTGTTAGTGGAGGTTAGTTTGTTTTTTTTTTGTTTTTTATAAGGCCGCTAAATTTGCCTACAACGCTAACTACACGGCAGTAATTTATTTAAATTTAGTTAGTAAACAGTGAAATATTTTATTTGAGAAATCAATAATTGCATTTAATACTCACTGCACTTCGTTGATGTGCGCTTGGAACTCCTCCTGCGTATCGCCGAGGAAGGAGCACTTGTTGCAGGCGCGCTTGTTGTGCACTTTCAGCACATGCGTGGCCAGGCGTTCCGAGCGCGCCGCCTTATAATCGCACAGCAAGCAAACAAACGGTTTTGTGTGCGTATTCAGATGACGTTTCAAGCCCCACTTATCCGCGCCGGACCACGGACAGTAACAGCAGGTGAAGCGTTTCTCACGCTTCGGTTTGAGGTTGCCACTAGCGGCGCCCGTATTGCAAACAATGCCACCATTGGCGCCGCCCACACCGACAGCGATGTCATCTTGTTTCTCCTGTTTGAGTTGTGGCAAGGGCGCGTCGGCCGCTGTAGCTACAGCCTCGATGGTCTCCGCAATGCTCATGCTCGACGAGGTCGGTTGGCGTTGCGCTTCCAGGAATGCATTGTCCAGTTGTACGTTCGCACCCTGGAATATGATGTTGGGTTTTTGCTCGGGTGAGCCACAACTGTTGAGCGTATTGTTTGTGTGTTGTGTATTTACCGAAGTGATGGTCACATTGCCACGTCCGCCAGCATGCTGATTGCCACCACCATTGCCGCCACCGCCACTGTTGGACGTGTTCGAGCTTACGTGACGTCGCGTCTTATTGATGTCATACTGCAATTCACGATGCATGCGCAGAAAATGCTTCTTCACATGATCGGCCCGATTGAATTGCTTGAGGCAGGCGAAGCACTGAAAGGGCTTCTCCTCTTTATGTATGTTCTCGTGACGAGTGTAGAGATCTCGCCGATCGGTGGAGTAGGGACAGTGTGTGCAGGCGTAACGTTTTTGCACTTGTACACCGCCATTGTTGTTGGCATTATTGCCATTTTGTTGATTATTATGCGCGTTGCTGTTGTTGCTGTGTGACTTTTTACGACTATTGCCACCGCTCGAACTGGTGACGACACCGCTGCTGTTTGTTGATGTAGGTGTTGTCTGCTGTTGAGTTTGGCCGGCATTCATGTTGTTACCGGAGGTCGAGGGACTAGTGTAGATCACTTCGGTGGTAGAATCGTTGCGATTTTTGGATCTAAAAACAAACAAACAGCAAAATGTGGTTATTTTACGTATATACGAAATATCTGAAAACCAGACAAAACAAAAACGTTAACTACGGCTACACCGAAGCTATAATACCCTACACAAATGCATTTCTTTTAGCGTAAAAGGTATAAAAAGATATTTATATCGATTATGCTCGGCCAGTTTATATGCCAGCTATATGCTATAGTGGTCCGATCTGAACCATTTATTTGCAGATTGTAGTGTTGCCTTGGCTAATAATTCATGTCAAATTTCGTGAAGATATCTCGTCGAATAACAAAGTTTTTCATACAAGAATTGCATCTGATTGAACAGTTTGTATGGCAGCTATATGCTATAGTGCTCCGCTATGAACGATTACCACAAATGAGCAGCTTCTTGGGGACAAAAGAATGTATGCAAAATTTCAGACTCATATCTCAAAAACTGAGTGACTAGCCAGCTTGCCTGGCTTCAAAACTGTTGCAACAAAATTATTTCAAACAAGCTATTTTTCGCTCACATTTTTGAATACATTTAATTTCAAACTTCAACACAATTGCTTTTTTGAAACATTTTTTCTTTTTGTTAAAACCCTACAAACGCAATAGACGTCTCCGCTTCGACAATGCGTCGCGTACACAATTCGAATTTTGTGCCGAAATTTAGTCTGGGCAAATGGACGTGGAATAAGAACTTGGAGCGCTTAGAATTTGAACCCATTAAAGATGCGGAGTTGGAGAAACAAGATTATGTCAAGACGTGCGGCTTCAAATTCAACAAGTCGCTAAATCAATTGGAAGAATTAATATTCCTGCAAGAGTTCCAACGTTCCGAACTAACACACGATGCCGATGTAATACTCGTGCAGGACATAAAAAATATTGTGCTCTTTCTGGCACCAACCGAGATCATCACAAAGGATTTTGTGCTCTTTCTGCACACCTTCACCGTGGATCGTTTTCTGCGCGCGCTCATCATCTACTTTGAGTACTACTTGAAAATGGTGGAGTATGTGTTGATACGTCGCGACGAGATTAGCGGCGAAAAGGCGCAAATACAAAGCGAGGACACCAATGAGATCAAGCGCATCTACTCGTCGCATCTTACACAGCATCGGCTGCTGTTGGCGCGCGAATATAGCATTATTATAGCGGGCGATGGCGAAATGAAGCCATTCTATCACATTACACCCATTGTCAATATTTCGCAATCGATTAAGGATAAGCGCTTTCACGAAACCTTTTTGGCATTCTCCACACAAATGGTGTGGATCGCTATGCATCGACGCGCCTACGACTACATCGATTTGGAAATGTATCGGCTCTTTCGCTCCGAACACTTTAAGCTCAAACGTTATGCGCACATCAACTTTACGGATGCCGAGGCGAACATGCTGTACGGCAAGAATTACAAGCGCGTCAATTATCGCGCACAAAACTCACCGCTCATACAGGAGTTGGCCAATGTGTCCAACGAGAATTTGCCCATATTGTGGATTGGCGAACGTAAATATCGTGGCACCGATTTGCGCATACACCAACTGGAGCTCGAGTATATTGTGCCGGATAGTCAGTTGACTTTGATTGATGTGTGTCACGGCATACTCGGGCATCCGAAGAAAATCTACAACACACTGTTGAACATCAATTGGGAAGAGGTGCGCTTCCAGAACTATTCGCATATTTATGATCCCTATCAATTGGTGCGTCAGCCGATGCTGAAGATACCGCATATCGATGCGGAGAAAATACGCAAACATGCGCAGAAATTCGACACCTACTATCATGTGCGTCTGCAGTATGAGCGCGCAAGCAAAGCGGTTATAGATAAGTGGTGTCGCCGCGACGCCGTCATTGCGTATTTCACTACGGAGGGCATGATTACGAACATTGTGACGCAATGCGAGAGGGAGCTGGTTAGAGATTCGTATGGTCCAAGTGTGAAAGAGATAACGAGCAAGTTTTTAGCACGCAAGAAATTATTGGGAAAACTATAGCGTAGTGCACAAAGCAAAGGTGCGCCTGACGCAGAGAGTAACAGCTCGAAGGCAGCTGCAAGGTTTTGTATATTTTTGATATTTTTCTTTTTTTTGTTGCAAATCATATTTAAAGCTCGTCATGATTTCGGTAGGCAGATATTTCAATAAAATTTTAAGTTTAGAATCGTGTATTTGCTGAAATTTTTCTGCATTTGATAGCTCTTTGGTTTAGGTCAATTGTGTGTTCGATTCATCACTCGCTAAGCTTTAGAGAAGAGGAAAAGGTTAGATTGCACAAAAGTAATCGTATTTAAAGATCCTCTTACTTCGCTATATGTAGAAGAGTTAATCGAATTTGTAGTTCAGTATGAAATTTAGTATAACGGTAATTTTCAGCATATTAGTTGAAAAAAAAAATCGCAGTTAACTTAAGTTTGAGCAATTTCAAAATTTTAAAGCAAATGAATTTTTAAAAATTTAGTTTTCATATTTAAAAAAAAAAACCTCCCTAACGTATAATTATCTTTTTGTATACAAATATGCGCTTCAATATCATCTACATATAAAAAACAAAGATACGAGTATTGCACTATAAATAAACTCCGTTTTCTATAAACAAAAACCGACCCACCCTAATGTATAATTATATTTTAGTACACACATATGTACTTAAATATCATATATGGTATAAAAGACTTGAAGAAACAAGAGATTCACTTCAAAAAGTTTGTTTTCAGATGCAAAACAAAAAGGACACACCTTAATGTATAATTATTATTTTTGTATACACATATGTATGTACTTAAATATCATATACATAACACATGAAGAAACAAGAGATTCACTTTAAAAAATTTGTTTTCATATGCAAAACAAAATGGACACACCCTACCGTATAATTATTTTTTTTTTTTGTATACACATATGTATGTACTTCAATATCATATACATAACACATGAACAAACAAGAATTTCAATTTAAAAAATTTGTTTTCACATGCAAAAAAACATGGACACGCCCTAATGTAAAATTGATTTTTTGTATACACGTAGTTACATACATTTAGAAGTATCATATCTATATAAGCACATACATATGCATATATAATACAAGAATATCAATTTGAAAATTTTTGTTTTCATACATGAAAAACCCAACACACCCTAATGTTTCATTATCTTTCGTGTATACATATGTATATACTAATTATTTATAAGACTTAAAGAAACTAGCTTTGCAATCTAAAAATTTTTGTTTCAACGCACGTAGAAAACTGAGCCACCCTAATGGCTAATTACATTTATGTATATATGCATGTACACCCATATACACATATAGAAGAAATATATAGAAGCATACATGCACTACCACTTTTGTCTGCACTTACTTTGACTTGGATGTGCCAACTTGTTGCTGCAGTTGTTGTTGTTGCTGTTGTTGTTGTTGCTGTTGCGTGGCAGCCGTATAACTCTGCAATTTACCACCTGTTGCCGTCGGTGTCGACCACTGTACAATTTGTGCCTGCTGCTGCTGTTGTTGTTGTTGCTGCTGTTGCTGTTGTTGCTGATCCGTACCACCGGTGCCAGTGGCGTTGGTGGTGGCAAAACCATTTTGCATTAGCGCCGCCAGGCCAAAAGCCGTATTCAAGTGGTCTTCCGATTTGAAATTACCGCCTGTCGTTGCGACGACCACAGAACCCTCGGGTTGTTGTTGGATTACAACATTTGCCGCATTTGCTGTTGCTGCTGCATTGACGGCATTAGCGGCATTGTTCTCATATTCGATGGTGGGCGCAGCGCTGCGATCGATCTGCTGAAGAAGGTGCAGCGACGAAAAAACGCAGTCAAAGCGAAGAGGAGCAGAAGAAAAAACACCAAAAAAAACCAAAAAAAAAAAGAGATAAAATAAGTAAAAAAACCAAACAACAATTGAGGAGTGTGTATGTGTGTTTGCGGCTGGGGACACATGAGTCAACCGCAAGCGCTGTTGTAGCACTTACCAAATTCGTGAATGAGCGTTCGCCTTCGGGCGCTGTGGGCCCAGTGGTCGCCACCTGCGCAACCGGTGTGCCCAATGTATGTAAACCATTTCCGGTCTCTTCCCCATATAATTTACGTGTGATTTCTTTAAACATATCTTCATAAGCGGCCTCAACATTTGAGGACGGTATTAATGTTGCCATGGCTTATAGAATGCGCGCGTTGCAATGCTGCTACAACTACAAATACGGGCCGTCAGAAACTGCGGAAGGAGAAAGACAGAGAGAGAGAGAGAAATTGCGGTTAGCAGTGTGTAAAAAAAAAAACATATTTGTATGTATGTAGTTAGGTATATAAAGGCAGTTGAACTATATATATCTATATATATTTATATCAGCGCAGGGTTAGATCAATAAAAAGCACACAAATTATATTGCGTAGAGCGCAGAGTCGACAAAAGCAAGCGTTCGTCAAATAGCCACACAATTGTTGAGTTTCAATTTGTCTCACACGCCTTTTTTGTGACTTGACGTTGTTTATTTGCGCCGCCTTTAGTCGCCTGCCTTTTAAAAGTCACTTCAGTCGGCGGGCAAAGTATGAACCACAGCTGCCCAGTTTTGTGGCTTGTCACTTAGCCTTGGCTTTACGCTACATATCTGCAATGCTTGTATGTATGTGTGCGCGTATGTGTGTATGTGTGTGTAGGTATGCTGGCGTTGTGGCGTGCGGGCGGCGTGTAAAAGTTAAATTGCCAACGACAGCTGACTGACATTTCCAGGAATACCAACGCTGATACATGATGCGCTGCGTCAAGGCAACACAACGCAAGTATAGCAACAATAACAAGACAGTTGAAAAATGAACATAAAAATGCAGTTGACGTTAAGTGAATGGCTGTGGTACAAACTATACATATACATATATATACATGCATACATACAGACATATGCAGGTATGTGCTCGTACTTGACTTTTTGCTGCTGGGATGACATTAGCGCTGCTGCAGCGCAGTTAAGACAGCTATTAAACAACAACAAGCAGCCGAGAATAATGGCATGAAGCTGCGCACCAACAGCCGAACTGCTGAGTCATGTTTCGTAACAACGCCAACGCCAACGCCGGCATGCAATCCACCACCTCTCGCACCAACTTTCAAAAAGTCTAACTTGCTCGATGGACACAAAGTAGGTGGAGTAGGTGTTAAAGGAATGTATAAAATAAAATAAAGTGCTGAAGCGGGCAGAAATCGCGTGAAATAATTTTATACAGAAATTAAGGTGAAATTGTTGACTGAAATCAATCTCGACGGACGGAGCGTAAATTTTTAAAGAGCTGTCAAATTCTTACGCGGACTTGGCGCTTAGGTTGAGAGTATTTTCCACAATAACGTGCGGATTGCTTCAAAGCTTTTTGCTTTAAGAAAAAGTTATAAAATAACTGAGTGATTTGTAATGAGAAATATGTAACGGGTGTTTTTTTTTTAGACGTGTGGTTTGCAATGGGGCAACACTTTTTTCGTAGCTGAGTCTTTTTGACAGCTTGGCAGTTCATAATGAGCAGACTTACTCCGAAACAAAGTTTGCAAATCGTGAATATTTATTACTAAAATAATGGTTCAATTCTCACGCGACGCATCGCGTGCTGCGTACAATATTCGGTCGACATAGTCGCCCTGCAGAGTCGGCTATCGAGCAACCATTACCGTTTCCACGACAGTCGAGTCTAAGTAACCGGAACGGACGCGAATTTTTATTCGGTCAAGGACTGTCAACTCGGCACCATTCCTCGAAATTACTTGAGGAATGTTTTCAGCCGCTACAACAACAACAACAGCAACCATGGCTCGGTTTCGCAATAAGTTTACTCTAGTGGAAAAGCAGAAAAAAAAATATTCGTCGTGTTGTTGCTGACATACAACCCAAATTCCCCAAACAATTTTGAAGAAGACTGCAGAGCACAGTCTTTGACTCGCTAAAACTCTGGATCCACATCAACATAAATGGTGACAACAAGTTATCGAAATCCACAGCTTTATTCGGGTTTTGGCATCAAAACTTTTACGTTGGTATTCTTTTCAAAACCTCGTAACGTTCATTGTATTTTAGGCTGCCTTAAGAAGCTTTAAAAGTCCGCTAAAGCAATTTTAAACTTTGAAGTCAGAAATACTATCTTTCAGAATCTTCAAAGAGTCCACTGCGGACCTGAGAAATCAGTGAATCTCGCGTATACTAAAATTTATTGTACTCAAAAAAATTTTGCGAGTCAAGTTTTAAATCCATTAAAGCACAGATCTGACATAATTTTCCAACAAAGCTACATAAATATAAAGCTTTATAAAAAGCATATAAAATTTCATTCCTCTCATTTCTTCCCCTAAATTGCATGCCATTTCAATCGACACCCAAATCAACGCCGTTCGAAAATTCCTTCCCAGAATTCCACATAAAATTAAAGACACCTAACACACACACACAAGCGAGTGCGCGTCACAAACTTCGCTTGAATTTCAACAAACAGGCCAGCAAAGTGCGTAGGTAGGCTGGATGGAGGGTTATTAGTGTACCCACTTTGCACACCATAAACTCGGAAGACAAATTGTCAATGAGCTGTGCGACACACACATAGAAAATATCATATGTAAGGCATTCCGATATGCAGGCTTCGCTGCACGCGCACCCGCGTTTCGAGGCTTTTTATTTTGATTGCTACGCAATGTTGCCAACGTCGGTCATATTGCGCGGCATATCAGTCGGCTTGTCTGCGTTATTTCTGTGAGTGTCTTTGGCGCTGAGCTTTTGAAGTGCGCCGCCAACGCCACCACTGCCGCTGCAGACAAATGAGTCAGAAGACCGGAGATGGCAAGTAATCAAAACGGATGAGTGAATAAAAAGGAATGGAGGAAAAGCAAATGCGGCACAATGTGATCCCTAGAATTATTTTCGCTTTACAAATAGCGTCTACGCTGCAAAAGCGGTTGCTGAAGGTAGCAGAAACCCATTTTATACTCCAACCGCCAATAGTGCGAACTGAAGTCTACTGGCTGCAAATAAAAAACTTCTTGCTGCAGCCGCGTCTGCCCGCTTATCGTCGAGTTCGTCATGGTCCTCCCACAACGGCGATAACCTTAAGCCAAAGTGGGTGGATACGCAGCTTCAACGGTACCAAAAATAAAGCACAAAGCTGAATGTGAACAGCGAAACGGAAAATCGCGCCAACTTGCTGTGCCACAAATGTAGCTACAACAACAAGCAGCGCAAAACATAAAAACAGATGATTTGTTTGCAAAGTCATCAGTGACGCCAACAGACGCTATGTTGCACTTGGTGGGCCACTGCTACTTGGCAGCGAACGCATTGAACGCGACGCCACACACAGCCGGGGCAGGCGTCGCGTTGCCAAACTCACGAACTGTCACAGTTGCATTACATACGTGTACTACGCGACCGCATATGGTCGGCTGTGATGTGTGGCAGTTTGTGTCGCCCACTTTGGCGACATTGTCTTCATTTCAGTTGCGGTGTTTGTATGCATGTTACGCGGCGAAACGTGTTCTCCCCCTCACATGAAGATTGTATTTATTCTTGTTGTTTTATTGGTTGTTTGTTTTGCAGTGTGTTCTTTTTGAAGTGTCCCCTTTTCGCGTTGTCGTTTTGAATTTTATTCACCCATATTCCGGTCTGCTGCCGCCGCCGAGTCAGCAGTTCAGCATGAAGCGAAGCGTCGCGACACAACACCGTGTGGGGGCGTTTGGTGTTTTGGCTGTGCTAAAGCTGGGCGTCGCGTCTGTCTGCGCGTCCGACTGCCAGTCTATTTCACAATTCATATGCTTGTTTTATTTATTGGCGATTGTTGGGTGTTTTTGTAGCTTTTTTCGAGTGGTGGCGCGGAGCAAGCAAGCAAGCAAAAGTCAAGATCATTCATCTGTCGCTGTGAGTAGGCTATGGTGGGTGGATACGGCTTTATAATACATCATACTTTGCTGTCAGGCGCAAATATCTCAGAAAATATCTGTATTTTCAGTTTCAAAGCATTTACTTGTATTTCAATGGAATGGAAGTTGGTTGTTATCACAAATTTTTAATCGGCAAAAATATGTTCAAAATATGTAGTGTCGCATTGCATAAAACTGTTGAGAATTACAGCAACTGCAACTGTGTGAATGAAATGTTAAAAGAAAAAGCTGTAGTCCTCATAGATTACAATTCCAGCTCATAAGAGCTTAAAATTTATATAAAGCAGCATGCAACGATCTTTCCAAAACGCTGTTGATCTCAGTCAAAAGCTTCACAATAAGAGCGGGTTAACAGTAAACACAAAGAAAGTCACCTGAACCATAAAGTATATTTACACTAGATTTTTAACGCTTAATCCTTAAATCAACACGAAAAATGCGCCAAATATCAAAGCGCTACAATATCGTTGCTTGAATTATTATGTTAGGTGGTAAGCTCGATCAGCACTTCTGTCACGATCGTCGCCTATACGATCTAACAATTAAAAACAAAATATTTAAGAATATTTTTATAAGATCTGCAGATCTTAACATTTATGGCGTCAAATATAAGATTTTATGCCTTAAAAATATTCGTGGAAGATTTGCAACTTACGAGTTCATCTATATATTGTCTAGAGATACCAGAAAACCCCAGAAATGTCCATATTCAATCATGCTGGAACCAGTGCTGCAGAGAATTTTTAACTTACCGCAAAAAAAAGAGACACAAACTGGCCGACATTTGAGAAGCTACCGCCAAAGACAGAAACATTTACGAAACTTACATATTTCTAAAACAAAAAAAAAACAAAAAAACAGGCTACGAAACACAAAACGAAGAAACGCAGATGACATGAAGATTGGCGCAACAGCTGCATGACAAGCCAATCACACTCGCACAAATGGGGTGAGTGGGCCGAAAACGGGCGCGCAACTGAAACAACAACACAAAGTGCGCGCAGAAAAGAAAAAGAAATAAAAATACAACAACAAAGAACTTGAAAGCAACGACAGTCACAGCGGAAATAATAGCAAGCCAGCGCTAAATTATAACAGCTGCGCCTGCTGATACTGCTGGCAATACGTGCTGATGTTACTGACGACGAACTCGACTACATGAACAACGGCTGAAGCATACATGCGTGTGAGCCAATCAACCACAAAGGGTAGCGCAGTTGGGATGGGTGCTTGGCGTCGCAGCGACAATGAAGGAACCGCTGCAAATGGAAGGAGCTAAGAACCGGTTCTGCGATTGGATTGTCCATGAT